CATCTGATATTGATGTCATGCCTTATAAAGAATAAAGCTGGAGTTATTCTACATTTTTGCCAAGAAATCCCAAAGCAAGACCAGAACCAGTGACTTGTTTCGCCCCAAGGCCATTTGTTCTTATAGTGAATGTGTAAATATTTTAATAGGTCACAAATATATGTATTTTTTTGTTCAAAAAAAGACTAAGAGAACAAGAATCTTTTGTATAGAGGCCACTGGAGTTTTGAGCTTTTAATCAAAGTGGAGTAAACAGTGTATTTGTTTTGGGACTATTTTCAGTGGTGGATGAATACACATTGGGGTCTCTAGTGGGTATTTGCACCAGCAGGATGGTGGATCGTTGATGTAGTTTGAGGACAACACTTGAGCACTGTGGCATTATGTCATCTGATATTGATGTCATGCCTTATAAAGAATAAAGCTGTAGTTATTTTAAAATTCTTGCTAAGAAATCCCCCCAAAAGGCCCCAACCGATGATGTGTTCCGACTGGTTTGCCTCGACGCCATGAACTCTTAGAGTGAGTGTTTAAAATAGGTCACAAATATACTTTTTTTTTTTTAATAGTAAGAGCAGAAGACTTTTTTGAACAGCTGGACACTGTGGTTTTGAGCACCTCAAACTGGAGTAAACCGCGTATTTGTTGGGGACTATTTTTAGCGGCGGATTAATTCCCTTTTGGTGCTCTGGTGGGTATTTGCAGGAACAGCAGGATGGTGGATTGTTGAGGTAGTTTTAGGACAACACCTGAGTCCTGTGGTGCAGTTTAATCTTATATTTTTATGCGTTAGACACTTATTGTGGGATTAATTGATTGTTTTTTGTGCAATTTATCCAACAGTGAGTAAAAACCAAACTTGCAGACAAACAGTCACAGTTTATGTTTTGCATCTAATTATCCCCACAATAAATCAGCAGCACATTTTTTCACTTTTCTTATCTTTGTAATTTTTATGAACCCTCTCAGAGATCAGATATAGAGCAACACCAGTGAACGACAGCTGAGGCTGGCAGCAGCAGGCCTGCGGCTCTAGATGTGGTGGACTTGAACCACTCAGTCATTAGAGGAGGTAAGAGGAAGTGCTCATTTAGCTGTCTGAAAATATTGGCACTTGATGTTTCTGCGAAAAGCTGCAAAGACACACATAAACAGCTGAACAGGATGTGACAGGTCATACTGTTAAAACCTTGAAATAGTCCCACTTCTGCTTTCATAGCGAGAGAGAAAGAAAATGAACGCACATGACTCCAAACATTCCCCAAAAAGACGTCTTGCACAGAGAGTAATAAAAATTCTTACATTTATAGTCGCATATGACATATTTAGCAGAAATGCCTGCAGCCCAGCGCGATGTGCACGACGCCCACTCTCATTTCCACGATGATGCAAAGTGATCATTTCCAAATCGATGACTTCGCTACTTTGAAAAGTGAAATAAAATAGAGACATTTTCATTTTCCCTCCTAATGATAAACGTCTTGTAAGAGCAAACCTGGGAGATTATCATGATGTTCTGGTTTGGTAATCCTGCATGAAACTGTCTCTTTAGCTACTCAGAGCAGAACCTTGCAGTCAGTACCACCTATTCATGGGTGCAAAATAAATCAAAGGATTGTTTCCTCTCTAAAAAAAAAACAAAAACTACCAGACATCAGACCGATACATGTTTGGAGTCAGTGGAGCAGAGAGAGCAGATAAGCATGATTCCTCTGAGTCTGACGTTTAGCTCGTTATGTCCCTAAAAGGTGTTTTCATGGTAAGAACTTAGTCAGTCCGGTCTCCTTCCTAGAACACATATTGTGTGGTCAAGGTGTTCTATGTGGGGTTTTGTTATCTACGGAACAATATGTCCGTCTCTGGTTCAATCTGTTGAGGCGATAATCTACAAATTCAGTTGTCCTTGTGCTTATTTTAAAAATGTGTAACTGTTTTCTCCAGAAAAAAGTCCCCTTAAGTACATGAGCTTCTTGGAAACTACTGCAGGGAAAAGTTTGCCTTCTTGACTCATATCTAAACCAAGAATCACACCAGGTGTAGGATCAGCTCAAGGAAACAAAAAGCTTCACTTTCTCTTTTCAGCTTTACTCACTTGAATTTACACCAAAAAAAAAAAAAAAAAGTCCCATCATTTGACCCCTAAGTGCCCTTCTTTGCCTTTTTCCTTATTACTTTGCTTGACCTCCGCCCCGCTGTGCAGCACCGACGTGAACTTTGCCTCGACAGTCGAACACAAGCCGAGGGCGGCCTGAAACGACATCGACCCGGTGAGGTGATCTGAATTTAGCTCATGAGAAGTGCAGATGAATTCGGCCCTCCTTTGCCGCGAGTGAATGAAAATGTGTCTAGATTTCAAAGCCCAGGTGTGGTACACGAGCAAAGCCTCTGAGAAGATCTGTCAGGTTTTACAGCCAGCGTCTAGTGGAGGCTGAAGAAAGCAGAAAAAAAAAAAAAAAAAAAGAGAATCTAGTCTTTTACTTCCTGAACTTCAAAGGCGCCTCACCTTCCTCAGCGTGGCCATCTAAAGCCTCAGTGGTGTTTGACCCTTCCCTCTACATTTCTCTAGAATTTCTTTCACCCTTCTCTCTTATAGATACCAGGGTTTTGATTAACATTGCAGACCCTCTCTAAAATCACAGCAAAATTATTGTGTGCACCTGAACCCAAGATGAAAATTTAAGAAGGGCATCGCCTCTGATATTGATATTTTTCCGTGTTCTTTTGCTCAACTTCTCCAAAATCTTGCAGGATTTTTTTTTCTCTTTTGTGTGTGTGTGTGTGTGTGTGTGTGTGTGTGTGTGTGTGTGTGTCTCAAAAAGTCTCACCTCCATCGCTTATTGTGCTGCAGTTCATGTGAGAGAGATGAAAGAAAGCGAAGGTTTTCATTGTCAGGATTTGAAATTTTCGCAACATGAGGTCTGTGGTTTTTGCACGACATGAAAACTTGCTTATGGAAAGGATAACACCTCCGCGCATTTCACAGACCCTGTTATTATTGTGGCTAGTGTTTGTTCAGGTGTTTTGCGTGTGAATGTGTCTTCTTTGCTCTTGAGGGTGCCACTGAAATTAGCCTGTTTAAAATAAAACGTATTTTTAATTACATGAGCGGATAGATAATAGCTACTGACCACAGTGAGCGTTTCTGGAGAGGAAACTGCCACAACTGGTTATGTCAAGTGACAGAAGATGCACACACACACACACACACACACACACACACACACACACACACACACACACACACACACACACACACACACACTTGGATGAAAATAATGCAATAAAATACAAATCTGCAACCTGAATCTTTGTTTGCATTAAAAAGAAAAAAGAAAACTCCACACAACCTAAAAAATATTTTGATTTTTGTTCAATTACCAACAAATATTGCATTTTTTTGGTTCAAGTTTAGACAAATGCCAAGAAATCCACTATTTGACTTCTAAAAATGAGGCTGAACCACACTCCAAGCAGTTCTTTCAACCAAGCAGAAAGCACAGAAACCCTGCATTAAGGTCAAAGGGGAATATTTTGCAAGAGCTGAACATGCAGCTGGGAAACTGAAATTCTTGATTTAAAAGCAGGTTTCAAAACTCTACAAAATGCGTAAAATGGACAAAGACGCACCAAATCAAGTTTTAGAGGTGACTGTAATTATAGGATTATTTAAATTCTAATTTTACTGAACTTATTTAAATTTTTAAAAAAAATGAAGGCTTCATCAGACAGTGGAGTCAATGGAAATATATCAGTGTCCTATTATGTGACAGCGCAATTGTTTTCTGTGCACAGATCCGAGCCATGAGAAACTTATGGCCTGAAACCTTCTGTCAAACACAAGTGTCGCATATTAGAGAATTAATCCTCATCGACATGACTGCGCCTTAATGCTCGGTGACCTATCAGAGGGGCCCGGCAGCGGCGTCTCTTCCCTCTCAGGTCAGGAGCTTTCTGCTCCGCTGAGACCTGCTGCTGCAGCCTCTCGCATGTTTTTTTAATCACAGCCTCGGTAACAGTATTTTTAAACCTGCATATTCACTGTTGGGGTTTAATTTTCGAGGAAAGCATTTATTCCTCTGGGTGTCATCATCATCATCAGAAGACAGTTGGATGTGATTTTGTTTTTACGCACACAGAAAGAGGACGTGGATTTTATCGATTCTGTGGAAAAGATGAAAAGCCTTAAGCAGAGGCGAAGTTTCACCTTCAGTGACTAAGCAAAAATAACAGTAATAACGCTAACTCTTTTTTTTTCTTTCTCTTTCAAGCAGGTAAAGTGTCCCCCACCCCCCACCTTTTTTTGAGCTGTGATAAGGTGAAGGCACACAAGTGACTTTTGGGGTCAAGCAGCAGCTCAGCCTGCAGCTCCGCTTTCCAATTTCTTGAACATCTCTCGTCCAAATTTAAATTCGCCCAACAACTACATATGCATTTTAAATTGCAATTAATTACACAAAGAAGGCTAATTTCTAAATCTATTGAGACCCTTCTTAATTATTTATTTAAATTGTACAACTTCTTCCCAGTTGAATTCCTTTGAAGTTGTCACACTTTAAAATGTTCCAAACACGACTACGCATTTTTACGCACAAACATCAAAGCGATAATTCGATATATAATGTGATAAACAGGGTTTCTGTGGTTCGTCTGATCATTATGGCAACTAAAACCCCAAAGCTCCCAACACCTCTGTCAGCTGACCAGTGATGCAGATGCCCGCAAAGTCATGAAGTGCAGGAGCTGAAAGATGCGTAAAAGTGATCCACCACAAGGACAAGTTACTTTACTCTCACGGGAAAAGTGTCTGTTAGGTTAAATTGAAGCTGTTGCTGTTGTGTAGCTGCTGGGTGAATGCGTAAATTTGAAAATATGTAAAAATTTAAGGTACAACAGCGAAATTTCTAATTTCTTTCACCCATTTCCCTGCAAAAAAACAAGTGCCAGTTGGTGAAGTTTTATTAGTGTGAAGCAGAGAGATATTTTATTTCAGTCAGACTTACCTCCCCTGTTTGGTGATTATCATCTCGGTTTGGAACTTGTGGAACTTGGCCCACAGCGGGTAGTTATTGAGCAGAGCCTGAGTCTTGCCGCACACCTGTAGCCCAGGTAAAGGGTAGAGAGGCGGCCGCTGGTAGCCGTGCTGAAAGCTGCCGGGGTAATTCTCCGGGGAGGGAGAGTACACGTCTTTACCGCTTGTAGGAAACCCGTCTCCCGCCGTGGGGATGTAGCCCTGCCCGGCTGCGCTCCTCGGCGGAGACCGCACGCCGCCGTACGGGCAGCTGCTCAGGGTCTGTGCGTAAAACCTGCCGGGCTGCGCCGCGTACCCTCCCACCGCCTGCTCCGAGTGGTACGGCAGAGTCAGAGCGTCCTGGCCGCCCTGAACAGAGTCCGGGTAGTAAAACCTCGCGTCCTGAATCCCCATTTTAAACTCGGCTAGATCCTTGCCGCCGCGGTGGAGGTGACTGCTGATGTCGGCGTTCTTTCCGAAAGTTTGCGTTTCAGTCCCATTCAACATGCTGAGGTAGAGGTTGCCACCTATGCCGCCCATTTGCAGCCCCGCTCCCGGGCGGTGTCAAATGTCATAAGTTTGCACTCTGGCGTCCAGCTGAATAAGAAGAAAAAAAAAGAGGGGAAAAAAATCACAAAACAACACTGTGGACTTTTGTCCTCACCCAAAGCGCACTGACAGAATTTAAACTCGGTCTGTGCCGCTCAGAGGATCAGACCTGAATTCATCCCTCGCTCGATCTTATTAGAATATTTATCTAGAAACTTATTTATAAGCCGACCAGGTGACTGTCTTGTCTTTTTTGACGCGTGGAGTCGCTACCAGGGACTCAAACACATGCTCGCTTTTCTAACCTATGATATATACATTTTGTAAGTGGTCATATTCTGGAGGTGTGTCTGATGCGGAGGCAGGACGTGATAGGCTGCAGATATGAAAGCGCCTTCCCCTCATCACAACTCAACACTAAATTACACACACGCTGCCCTTTGGACTGTGTCTGCAGAATATATTTAAAATATGGACACTGCAGGAATGTTTCATTCTCCAAAACCAGCTGCTTTAAATGCGCATCTGGTCACCACAAAGTTTCTCGGAGACATTTTACGCATTTTCGTTTGCGCGCATTAATAATTAACGATATGACTTTGTTTTTATTGCACCAAAGTAAATATTTTTAATGGATTTAGGTGGATTCAAACTAAAGAAAAATGAATTTATTACAGCCCGTCTTTAATTATGCCAGTAATTTAGCTTTGACTTGTAATTTTGAAAAAGCACAACAGACTTCACTCATAGTTCAGTGATAAAATAGAACATTGCGGTTTGGATTTTTACATTTTGCTTGTCAATAATCTTATCAATCTATTATTTTTTTAAAGAGCGTTGTAAATTATACAGTCGTTAAGATAAATGATCTAATTTCTTACCTTGAAGTCGGGATAAAGTTCCATTTGCGGGCTATTTCTTTCTAGAAATGTAAACCTTATTCGCTAAAGATTTATGATTTATTGTAATTTATCTCAAACCTGAAAAACACTTTATGTAAAAAAGAAAAACCTCACCCACTCTTTGTCGCAGGATTATTCACCTTTTCGGTTTTTCCTCACCAAAACCCAGCGCACGGTCTGAATCATCAGCATGGTTTAATTTCATTTTCCATTTGAGACATCAAATGCGTCAATAAATGCGAGTAACAGAGCCACTTGCTGTGAATATTTAATAGCTTTAATGACCTTATTATATTAATTATATCTGTGGCAATGAATCCAGAATGAAAATAAAGAGGAGAGTAAAATTGGAACTTCTTTCAAATTCAATTTTAGGTGAAATCAAAGTGGTTCAGGAAAATAAAAAAAGATTACATTCAAGTGCACTAAAATGTATTTCATTTTTATCTGTATGGTGCATGTAAACAATATGAGTCATTTAAGGGAACCTGACATAGCAACATGAAGATCTTATACAACATATTATAAAGAGAACCCCAACAAATCTAAACAGTTTAGCAACAAGAATGCAGTAAGGAAGTGTGTATCCACGTCATGTACGGGATATAAAATACAATAAATGTTCATTTCAGTGATTTTTTTCTTTAGGAGAGGCCAGAATCTGTTTGCCAAATCTCTCAACAGTGGAGTAACTGAGTACACAGTTGCGCAATACATATTTATGATGGAAACGAGGAGGAAACCAAAACAAAGGCCAAGAACACTGACATGTTGGAAATCTGGTGCAGAATATAGATTGCATTTTTTTTTGGAGAAGTAGACATTTGTGGCAGCAGACAGCATCAGGTAAGGTTTCAGTCCCAGTCAAACACGTAAAACTGAACTTTCACAAGTGTTGCCTGAGTGCGTCAGAGCGGCCAACCACACCTGGATCAAACAGCTTGTGATGCAGCAGTGGCTCTTTACGCTCTTTTAGTGGCGTGTTTTTGTGTGTGTCGGTGGTCAGCTGGTGTGGCCTGGACGGAGGCTCTGCTTCATAAACACAGATGAAAGAGATAACCCCGAGGTATTAGCAGCTGCATGTGTGCGCGCGACCACATTAATAGATGAAACCCCCCTCCAGTGCAGGTATGACACACTTATCTCCCCCTCCGACGCTGTCACTGCTCTAATCCCACATCCTGCGTCTCTCCTAGCAAGGTGAGCTCGCAAGGGCGCCGGCTGAAGTCATCAGTGTTGACACGGGTGGCGAGAGGGCCACAGTGTGAGCGACACCACGGCCAGCCAGGCGTGTCCACCTCCCCCCACCCCTTCTCCCCCCTCACTCTCCCCCCCCTTTAGGCTGGACTCACCACTTCCTGTGTACTGCTTCCGGTGAGAGCCCCCCAGGCCATCACCTTGTGAAGCTTTCGTTTTCTGTCAGGTGGCACCAGGCCTAAAGTAAAGCGTTTTTCATCTTGACGGAGCTCCTGAATCCAAACTTTGTGCTGCTGCCTGCGTAATAATGCACATACAAGTAAATGAATCTGAGCAGGAGGTATAAATAGTGGATTATAGCCTCCCTGTCGCACTCTGAGCCGAGCTGCAACTGGACACTGATATAAAAATCTTGATGGTTGTCAAAGAATGCAGTAAAAGCGAGCGTGGCTGGCTCGGATGCAGCTTCTGTGGGCCCGACAGATTTAGAAGTGAGAGACAGACACATCATCGGATGTCTTCATTAGCAGTATCACTTCACTGCTTCCTTAAAACAGATGATATTCTGTTAAACGGAAGAGATGGTGATGATTGAGAGATCGCCGTGGTGTAAAGAATCGCTGAAAAAGCCTGATTTGGCCTGCAGTGGAGAACTCTGTGGATCCCTGGCTGACACTGAAGGCGTCACAAAGCACTTGTCAGATGGTTGAACAGTATTTCAAACTGTTTGGGTGCTTCAATTGGAGGCAGGTCTTGTAAGTTGTTTAGCCCATTTCAGGTTGTAGTTACCAAAATGTGCAAAATGAGACAAAAAAATCTGAGTTTGAACTTCTCTTTCAAAGTTGTTTGTTTGTAATGATGTCGCCTTTCATGTTTAAAACTCAGTGCAAGATGATCTCAGAGTGCATGTGGATATCCCCGTTGTGTTCCTCTCATCTATATGCTACTATACAATTAGGATGTTCTGCCAAACTCAATAATTGACAGAATAAAGTGCTGTATTTCTGGGGCAGTGTGGACGATGGGTGTGTAGAGGGCAGGTTTACACTTGCACATTCTGGTTTAGGCAACAACATCACCGTGGTTTGTGATTTCGATTGAATGTCAATGACGGTGTTGTCTTTTGTGTAACTGTAGAGATTTTCTGTAAACCAAGAACATGATGTTTCTCAAGTGCACCTCAACATAACCGACAGTCTCGTAAAGCTGTGGTTTCTATGAGACGACATTATCTTGCAAAATCTGATACTTTTGCAGAAAATAATACACTATTGGAAAATATTTTACTGATACACTCATCAGTGTTTTTCGGCTTGCAAGGCAAGTTAATTTGCAAGATTTCTTTATTGCATTCATGGAAAATAATTCTGAAGGTGGTATTATGCGTCCTTAAAAATATGTTTACTGCGAATCAGTTGCATGTAATTTCTAGAAGACAGAGTTGCTGTATTAGTTTTTTTACCTTAAATCAAAAATATATAGTTAGTCTTTGCCCAACAGAGCGACACATGTAAGCTTTTTTTTTTTTTTTAAACATTTTATTTATGATTTTTCAGATATCATATACATCAATCATATTATCTGTTCTTGAATTACCCATAGAAAACAATCCCAACAAGAAAGCACCAGACATGTAAGCATTTAATGACAGTTTACCAAATACGAGTTTTCTGATCTTACACTACATTACATGTGGTTTGGTTGAGTTCAGGCAGAAAAAACAAAGTTGGTTCGGGAAGCACTGTGGTTTGGGTTAAAATGACATCAAATGACAATGTGGAAACAAGGTGAAAGATGTTGGTTAAAGTGATGAACCTGCAGAGAATAATCAGCTGAAAGCTTCGGCTCCACTTAGCTTCATGAAGGTTCACACTGAGTTTCAGGTTCTTGTTAAGTTTTTCTATTCTTGTGCATGTTGTTGTTTTAGGACGCAGTAGGCAGTTGTTTTTAGTGAAAAAAAAACTACAAAAATCCACCAGCATGTCTGCACCAAACAGCAGACAGACAATGTTCGTTAGCATTTAGCAGCAAAAGGAAAAAAAACGCTATTTCCATCTGGAGTTGGTAGAAATACAAAAAACATAATAAAAGATGGACTTACCTGGCAACGCAACTTCAAATAAATGTTGCTTAGCTTTGTGCTAGCCAGGTGTGTATGTAAGCTGTTTGCTAACGTGTTCTTTTGTTTCTGCTTCCTCCATGTGATGGTCACAGATTCAGATTCAGATACTTTGCGAAGATTGTGAATGAGTAAAAGAAACCGGCATTAACTGAAGCAAAAAAAAGGTGTAATTCAGCGGCGTTTTGACCGATCCATCCACCCCAACCTCCTCTTTACAGACACTTTGCAGCTTTATAACAGTTACATCTCTATTCTCTCTCTCAGATGAGTGTAAACATACAGAGGAGATTCTTGCATAAACACTTTCTCCTTCTAAGTGGCTGTAATGAGACTTCATTCATCCGAAACAAACTGCACCCCGAAGGTATAAAGTTTTCAAGTTGACACCACTTAGTTTACAGCTTGTTCCTGCTGAATCTGCACTGGAAAGGCCCACCAACCCCCATTTGAAACCCGAGGAGGCTACATGTTGCTCTAACTCATGACCACAATGTTCACTATGTCAAACTCATATATACTTGTCATTAATATCCACTTCCTATATACTGTGTTTCAGCCACAAAAGTCTGAAATTGAACTTTGTCACAGCTTCTAAATAATAATGATTGTAGTGTTACAGTGTTGGGTTTTTTTCAACGCCAATTTTTGTGTTAACCTCTTCGCTCATGATTTAAGTCAACTGCCTTCTGGGTGCTTAACCCCTCAGCCTTAAATATCCGGTCTTGACATCGCGCCGATGTGGGTGGGCACGGCATGACTGACAGAGTTCACAAATCAAAGTCAACGTGCAGGCATTCATTTCACTTGGACACCAGTTTGGCGCTTGTTGCAAGAAGGCCAATTAAAAAATATGACGTTATCATCACATAGAGACACACATGAGAGATTTATCACTGACCCGCAAGAAAAAATAACTTGAAATCCCAATGTGATAAAGACTTTTCATGGCTGCAGCACAAACACTCTAAAATCTGAGCTGAGGTCACCAGGCAGTTGTGGATAATATATATATTTTTAATCTTACAATGACAATTTTCTTTGAGTTGTGAGTATTTCTTAATT